AAGAATTATTTAATGAGAGTATTCTTTGAATTAACAAGCAAATTCAAACCTTATAATAATATTTTTTCAAGTAAAAGATCTGTTATTTAATTTTTATTTAATAGTTTTAAGTTTTATATAATTATCTAATTGCTAATTTTTGAATCAAAGTTTAGATTAATATTAATTATGATTTTGGAATATTTTATAATTAGTGGTATAAATGGTAGGAATTATTTACTATAGTGAAAAAAATAAAAAGCTAAATATTTAGTATAGCAAATATTAATATATATACTTTTTGACATTATAATTAGTTTCTTTTATATTAGAATTAAAAATTTGGAAATTATTATATAAAGAGATATTGGCTTTTTTCTTCATTCCCACCTCCACAATTGCCTCTATATTAGTATCAGTTATTTGGTTTCAGTCTTCTTAAGTATACCAATCCTATATTTTTTAAGTACCTTAATCCAACTAGCAAAAGTTATATTACTAATTTTCTTAGTTTTTTTTTTTGATTACACTGTATGTACTGTATGTAACTTGTTTTGAATAAAATTTTTGATAGACAGCAAAAATATGCTTGTATGCAATTCTACAAAATTTAAAGTCTATACATGTATATTCAAAATATACTAGTTTCATATTTTTATTTTGTTGAACATAATTTTTGATACTATTCTCATAATATCTGTTTTTTGCTGATTTTACAAGATAGTATTGATCATCTGAGAAATTAAAAATGTTTAGATTCAAACCAGCAAGCTTGTGCTATTTCTGTTCTCTTTAGTAAGGTTTTATCCTTCTAATTATTAAATAGACAGCCTCATATTCGAATTTTGTATCCTTTAAGATATTTTGCAATATCTATATTAAGGTATTAATTCGATTAAGCTACAAAGTAAATATATTTAATTTCTTATACTACACTTCAATAAAGTTTATTGTATTCATTTCTTGATATTCATATAGGTGGGATGCATCAATCTATTTTGTGCAATTATTATAATATTCTTTTTTAATATATTCTACCTATTTTATTTTATTAAACCCTATCCACTTTTCTAAATATTCATCAAATTTATTTTTTATTTAGTGCATATTATGAATTCACATTATATTATTAAGTTTATCGAGTACTGCCTTCTGTGCTATTTGTTTTTTAACTATTTGAAAATATGACTATCTTTTTTATTTTTGTTTTGTACTTTAAAATGCTTGCTATCACCATTAATTTTACTTTTATTTTTTTGCTATATATTCTTAATATACTATTGGTACAATAAGATTATAGCTTTAGAAAATACTACATTAATAGCATTTTGCTATGTATCATCGCAACAGTAAAAAAGGTATAAGGTTTTTAGCTCCTATTTTGTTTTTTAATAGCTTTAAGTCAATATACTAATATTTCTTTTGATTTTCTTTCTGATATTAAATGGGCTACAAATACTCTATATTTACTATCATTATCTCAAATGAGCAAAGTAAAAAGGTTGGTTTTATACGAAGTTGTTTTATAAATACTATCAATACAAACCATTTGAGTGCTCTTTGACTCTAGCAATTTTTTTTTTTTAAATATTAAGGTAACCACTTTGGGTTTGATATATTTTATTTGCAATCTGAATCAAGCTCCGGCTTGATCAAATAGACCTCACCTGACTTTGTTACACTAATGAGAGTATAGGTAGTTATATGTACAACTTTAGTCATTGCCTATTTAAGAGTTCTACTATATCTATTTCTATCTATAGTTACTCATCAATTACCATACCTAAGATCTGCTTGTAGATCCTCTATTTAAACCCTCTGATCGGCTTCATGCCGTCATGTTATTTTTACCACTATCTAACTGCCGCTAAGGCTTTTTAGAACTAGTTTATCCTTGTAGTAAACCTGCTAGAGTTTTCCATACCCACAATCTGGCTAATCTAGTCTTTGGTAACTTACGCCCTTATCTGAAAACAAGTACTTGCGAGCCGAAGCCACTACCATTATCGTTGCTCTTGCAAAGTTTACCCAAACTCAGTACATATTTTACAGACAATCATCGGTTTTAATTCTAACAATCTCAAACTACCAATCTAGATAGCCTAGAAGGGCTATAATCTGCCCTAGTCCCTATGGTTAGATTCTTTTTCTCTGGTTACTCCTCTGGCATCCTGGTTGGTGGAGTGTCTTGCCAAATACTTCGGTCCCATTCAGTTTTGCTAGTTCTCCCAATGATGATTCTTTGGTAATACTATTGAAGATCTGTGCTACTTCTCTACTCAGGTCTTGCTAAGCATGTTCTATTATCCTTCCCGGTTTCCTGGATTTACAACAATCCAGAAACTTATTCATGTAACTCATATATCACACAAATGCCCCATGATCTTCCAATCCTATTGGTGCTACCAGGGTTACAGAGATCTCATTCTAACCATTAATCGGATAGCAGTAACATCATACAGGTAGAATATTTCGAAATTCGTCGGCAATGAGTTTTGAACCCTCTATCTAGCCAACAATTCGCTTGAGGGTGTGACAACTTAACCACTTCACTAAGTCGCTATACCCTGACTCTAGCATTTTTTCTGAAACTCTGTTTTAAAGGTATATATGAATCCTAAAGATTTGCTCTAGCTTGGATTATCAAATATATAAGAACTATCTTCTTTAGATAAGATGATCTATTCTTTAACAAATGTATTTTCATTATATCCTTCTTTCTTATTTTCTAGAAAGATTATATCTTTCATCTCCTCACGAATAATATTATATATATCAATATAGGAAATATACAGATTACGCCTCTGTATTAAAGACAAAGCTTCTAGATCATCTGTATTATGAATCTGGTTAATACACTGGTAAAACAATAATATAATTTGGAAAGAATTCATTTCATCCTTCGCCTTTCTGTGAATCCATTCCCTTGCCTGCTAAGATATTTTAAAATAATACAAATCTTCAAGGGTACCAGGTTTATGTTTATTATATAATGTATAATAAACAATATGAACACTATTATCTTCTTCATCATGATATTTTAATATATGTATATAAGACTTACAGCCTGTTTTTTTTTATAGCTTTTAAACTAGACAGGGACGACTACTATCAGATGAAGGGTTAATAGTTTGGTTAATTATGCTAGCTACTAATCTTGGTCTCTCATAACAGTGGCAAATGTATCTTTCATTTAGCTTATATTCTAAAATCTTATAGTTATAGTGCTCGACAAAAGTTTTTCCACATCTATATCTCTTCATGGAGAGGTGCTATGATTTTGAAACTTTCAGAAAAGTTAGTATCTATATAGTTTAGGTCATGTATATATTTTGAAGATTTTATAATTACTAGAAAAAAATTTAGATGAGAGCTAAATTTTGGACATTTTTCATTTCAAAAAAATCAAAAAATTAATTGAATTTAAATATATTGTTAAGACTTAAAGCTAAAACTTCTAAAAATTAATATATTAAATTTTAATGATTTCTGTAATAGTGACAAAAGATTTGACTCGATTTGATGAGATAGTTATTGAGAAATTAATTTTTAAAGTTTTGAGTTTTATTTTTGATTTGTCGATACCTAACTCTTTTTGTATTACAAATGTTTTTTACAAATATCTTGTGTTTCAATGGTCCAAGTTTGATGATTTTGATATTATTAGAATTGTCTCGTCAAAACAATTCAAATGATACCAATATCATTAAATTTGGATCACTAGATATCGAAATAGTTTCAATTGAAAAACTATTATTTTGTAATTTTTAAAAATAAAAATAAAAATTTAAAAATTAATTTTTCAACAATTATCTCATCAAATCGGGCCAAATTTTTTATGACTACAACAGAAATCATTGAATTTTAATTGTTTGGAGCGAAGCGACAAACTCATACTTCTACGTTCTTAGCATACCAAAATTACGTTTTTGATACATTTATATTCAAAATATCAAAAACGTAGTTGTTGTATTTTCTGGATGTAACACCACGTACCTTTATTTATATAACAAAAATAGATTGGTGTTTAGCAGCCAATTGTACTAGCAAGATCATTTTTATTTTTTTTTACTTCGATTTTTATTTCGATCTTTTTTTATTTTGCTCTTTTTTTTTTTTATTTCGATCTATTTTTTTCATTTTGATATTACTTGATCTTTTTTTTTTAATTTTTTGTTTTTCATACAACTGCACGGTCATGCACCCCTATAATATAAGTAAGTATTATCTTTTTTTTATTTGTATTTTGTTTTTCTTTTTTTAATATATTTTTTTTTTTCTTAGTTGTAATTTTGCTGTAGAAAAAGTTATTATTCTTGGAGTTGCCGTAGTTGGTAAGTTTTTTGTCTTTTTTTATATATATATATATTTTTTTTGATTAATATTTCTAGTTGCAATTTTGCCATCGTTGGAGTCACCTTATCGTTCTTCGAACTGTTGTAGTTTGCTATTTCGGTTGCCGTGGGATTGTCTTGTCGTCATGTTAGTAGTTAGGTGTTATTGTAATGATTTTATCTTGCAATTTTAACAGTTATCAAAGTAAAACCTTCATTTGTGTTGATAGTGTAGCTTCATTGTTAATATTGTATTTTTTTTTTTTTTTTGAATTTTTGGATTTTTTTTTTTTCTTGCATATACTTACTTTTTTTTTCCAGGTAATAGCAGATTGTCATCATAATTCGTTGGTGGTGCAGTTTTATTATTGTCGTGAATTCAATTTACTGTTAATACTAGAGTTTATTGTATCTTTTTTTTTTTTTGCAATCTTTGTGTTCTGTGCTTTTTGCTTTGTGTTTTTGCTACTTGTCTTTTTGTTTCTTACCTTTTTTGCTTCTTGCATTCTTTGTGTTTTGTGCCCTTTGCTTCTTACATCTTTTGCTTCTTGTGCTTGTGTTCTTTGCTTCTTGTGCTTTTTGATTTTTGCATTTGTTTCCTTCCTGCGTTACTTGCTTCTTGCGTCTTTTGATTCTTATGTTCTTTGATTCTTGTATTCTTTATCCTTTGTACCTTTTTTTTTTCTTTCTCTTGTTCTTTTTTTTCATTTTCTTTGCTTTTTTTTAATTTTTTTT